CACACACACACATATAGCTGGTAAAAAAAAGTATTGAACACGTCAACATTTTTCTCAGTAAATATATTACTAGAGGTACTAATGACATGAAATTTTCACCAGATGTCGGTAACAACCCAAGTGATCCATACATACAAAGAAATCAAACCATAAATGTCCAGAAATGAAGTTACATTATTATTACAAATAACTTCATTTCTGGACATTTATGGTTTGATTTCTTTGTATGTATGGATCACTTGGGTTGTTACCGACATCTGGTGAAAATTTCATGTCATTAGTACCTCTAGTAATATATTTACTGAGAAAAATGGTGACGTGTTCAATACTTATTTTACCTGCTGTATTTTACTGATTTTTTAAAAATCCAAACAATCAATGATTTATGAAGGTAAATCAGGAAAATATAACAAGGCTGCCCAAACATTTGCACCCCACTATGTGACCCATCACGTTACACTGAGGATTAAGTCAAATTTGGCCAAAACAACCTTAGCACATTTTCAGATTCCTGATTTTTAAGCTTTTGATCTCTGAATCATGATTTCATGAGCGGTTATACAGAGATGACTTAATTTGTCTTGTTAATGACAATGATACATTAATATTTGGACTGAATCCTATTTTTAGGTTATTCTACTCAGGAACTTTTGATATCATTTTTAAAAGGCAACATCAAATAGTATTTGGATATTAAGATTTCCCAGCTGGAAAAAAAAAAGCTTTGATCACAGGGAATATACGTATATTGTTCTGGTCATCCTTAATGGAAGGTGACCTATGACTGATTATGGTCAAAGGTTTTCAATTGTTCCAACGTAGGTGCAACTCCTACACTGGTTTTACAGTATTTGGTGGTTTCCCAACCAAGTACTAATCAGGCCCAACCCTGCTTAGCTTCTGATATCTGACAAGATCTGCTCAAAAGATTTACTCAAAATCACTTTTTGTGTTTTATTGTCTTTCTTATTTTTAATGCCACTGCTCAAATAAGTGCTCCGAAATTTATTAGGATTATATTTCAGATGGTTCATTCACATAAGGCATTTATTCATCATATTTTGACAAAACACAGTTATTGAAAATGTTTTAATCAAAACACTTTAATTGCTTATACTTTGAGACTATTCTCAGCTTGATGTGATGGCTCACATATCTCATCCTATGTGATTAAATAAAGGTACTTATCATTGTAAAAGTCAAAAATAACAGTTTAACAGCTTCTTGATATTGAAATACAAATTAGATACAAATACAAGATAAAAGTTATTGTTTTACAAGCAATAAAGCTGTTATTTACATAGAAACACAGACGCTGACACATCTTACATTTCGTGATATAAATTATTTATTTACATTTACAGAAAAAAATGACCCCATCAAGACAATGTCGTAATAACTATTGGAAATAGAACTCAAGAAACAGTAGCTGACGTGGTCGTCACAACCGAACAGAGAGCTCTATAATAACATTGTGCCCTCTGTCAAAGGTCTCCTATTACACAAGGTGCAAGGCATCACGTGTAGTCCCCGAAC